TTATAATGAGGTCAGTAATACAAAATTGAAGTGCTGAATTGCATGAATAAAGCAAATAATCACAATAATGCAACGACAATATGATTGCGTAATTAATTATGCAGGTTAGCGTCAGGAATCCTCCCATCCTGTGATTTAGATGCTTGGTCTGGACTTGTTATCTCTGCTTCATGGTCAATGCTTTGGTAGGCTTTGCATCCCAAATAGGAGCAAATTTTAACACTTCAAACTAATTATGTAGAAATTAAGATCTTCAATTTGATTTCTCTTCTGTCATTTTCCAGAAATCCAACATTTCAGATTATTGCCTTCATTTTATTTGTAATAAATTGACATTTTTATGTAGGAAGCTGTTCATAAGAAAACATTTGACCTTATCTGTCAAGCAGACACATTGGTAGTGGTAGATACTCATTAACCTTTGCTTTAGATAGGCTTGTAAACCTTAACAAGCATACTCAAATATTAATAAAACTCAGTATTAATCTCAGTCCAAACAAAACATAATTGCTGAAAGATAAGTTTGAGTTAAATAAAAATCAGCCATATGCAGAAGATACAGCCTCTACTTTCTGCTATTGTCACTGCATCTATTTACAGTAAGTAGGCAGGTAGCTTGGTATTCTTCAGTCATTAAATTTGTTTTTTTATTAGCTCCCATATGGATTTCTAATGTCTTTAAAATATCACCTCAATTTGTGTGCTTGGAAATTACAGGGGTGTCTTATTAGTTCATTATCACTGTGGACTTGACAAGTTATCAGAGGAATGTCTAGCCCAGAGGACCTGGATCCTTGGCCATTCAGATCACCTAACACAAAATTAATGAGTATAACAGAAGTAGGTTATACATGTCATGCTTTTTTTTCTTTCCTTTTGCCTAGGTGTGGTGAAGCAGTGGAGAAAAACAAACGTCTTATTACTGCTGACCAGCGGGAATATCAGCAAGAGCTCAAAAAGAACTACGGGAGGCTGAAGGAGAACCTCAGGCCCATGATTGAGAGGAAGATCCCAGAGCTGTACAAACCTATAGTGAAAGTTCATAGCACAAGGTACAGTTAGGGCAGGGTTATCTGTTGTAGCTATACAAAAATATGCCATTTTTGCAAGGAAGAAAGGCAGTTTTACTAGCAGCTAAAAACAGGCCATAATATATGCTAACAACTTCATGCTTGATTAGAGAAGTCTGCTGACTTCCACTGGAGCTTAATGTAGTATTAACTGTGTTTCTCAAGCTGCTTATTCCTGGGGTGGGGAATTTATGGAATTTTAGTGCATCGTTAGAGAAGTCTTGCCCCTCACCCTAATAAAAAGATACTGGAAACATTCTTTACTTATGAACATATACTTCTTCACAAAGCCACACCATGTCCAGTGGGTGTGGGAGTGGAAGAAGAAATATGCCTCTGACCTGCCTACACATAACACATTTCAGCTGATGATTTGTCAGCTGCTCCTTTTCACAAGGTAGATATTTCTTGGATTCTTTTTCATTTGCGAACTTTATTTATGGATCCATTTCATTGCAGGGAATCTTTTCGTAACCACAGTTTTAGGAAATACGATGCCCAGACTTCGTCACAAAGCACCTAAGGACTAAATACTTTGACCAAGGAAGAGTTTCATGCTGCAAGCCAGAATTGATGGGGTATTCAACACCTATGAAATCAGAAATCTCTCACAAGGCAGCATGTGTGCTTTCTGGACAGCATGCAGAAAAGCATTTACACAAGATCACTGAATGAAAACCTGGGGATGACTCCTGATCAGCCACATCGCGTGAAGGCTTGGGAAGGAAGGGGATGCTTTTTAGATACTTTTGCATATATTGTAAAATAAGCATATAGTATGGAAAGACAGACCGTTAGAGTGGTCAGTAGCACAAGATCAGTCACAACTAGCTAACAGACACAACTCTATGAGGGTTGATTGAGGTGTCACGTGAATCCAAATAATGCGTCTAAGGGACACTGACAAGTTACATCTATTTATGGTCCTTTTCCAAGACAGTATTTATCCATGTGCTTTTGACAATGGAGCACATTCTGCAAGTTAATTACATGCTTAAATGCTGTCTTAATGAGGAAGGATATGGTCCCCTGCTCAGTGTTTGCTGAGCTGGAGCTGCAGGAAAGAATTTCCTGAATCAGTTTCTGCCACCAGTTTCTGTCATAGTCCTTAACTGCAGGGAGAGTTCTGCACAAGCTTTCTCAACTGAAGTTTGAAAAGCAAGAAGTAGCAATAACTAATTCTTACAGATTTTATAAATTTTTTTCTAAGCATAGGAACTGCTACTTGACATACAATTGGATTTCTTCATAATCAGTGTCATGTTTCACAGAATCACAGAATATTAGGAGTTGGAAGGGACCTCAAAAGATCATCCAGTCCAACCCCCCTGCCAGAGCAGGATCACCTAGACTGGGTCACACAGAAACGTGTCCAGGCGGGTTTTGAATGTCTCCAGAGAAGGAGACTCCACAACCTCTCTGGGCAGCCTGGTCCAGTGCTCTGTCACCCTCACAGTGAAAAAGTTTTTCCTCATGTTCAGGTTGAACCTCCTATGCTCCAGCTTGCTCCCATTGCCCCTTGTCCTGTCACTGGACATCACAGAGAAGAGCCTGGCTCCTTCCTCCGATAGTTTAAAAAGAAGACGCTAAGCTATGAGTGATTCTTTTACTGTACGACACTCTTATGTAGATATCCACAATTAACGACAGAAGCGCACAGTGAGAATTTCCTACAAAGCACTTCACTCACGCTTTACTGCAGCTTAAGAGAAATTAGCATGTAATTTATAATACCTAATGCTTAGTATTTTCTGAACCCTGAGCAAACATTTTACTAAATAATTTTTACAGCACTTCTCTGAAGTAAGGAAATATTATTACAATTTTCCAGATGATAGAAATTAAGAGAGAAATTAAGACCTTGGAACTCATTTAGTGAGGCAATGGCAGAGCCAGAATTTGTATTGTGACCGTGCACACTTTGTAATGTTTGAGTTTGGAAACAAAGGTCCATGAAAGCATCCCTTGATATTACTTCCTTTTTGATTTTGAAGTGAATGTATCCAAAGTAAATAGTATAAAAAGCTCAAAGCAAAAGATGCCTCCATGGAGTGGCTTTTCTATATTCAAGTTACTTTGAAACAGTTCTAAGTTGAAAAGATTATTAATTTCCCAAAGCTCTGAAGCTATGAGATCTCTGCCTATCAGAGCCTAGACCCTTATCTGTTGTTTTTAACAGCCTGTTCAGGAGGAAGGTCACAATACTGTCATCTATCAACCCCATAATCCAACCGCATTGTTTACAAGATGCTTATCCTTTACAGCCTAAATAGCAGAAACCTCAGGTAAACAAAAACCCCCTACAGGTGTCAGAATATACTAGGTGAAAGTAATGAAGTATTTCATGTTGTGTGGTCCTTTGAAATGAAACAATACCATGCATAATACGAGTGCTGGAGTACTCTCCACTCACATTTTACAAGCTGACCACCCCTCAACCAGTTGGCCAGTCTTGCTCTCCGTTTGTAGCTCATGTTGTCCCATCTACAAATGAAACATTGTTTGTACATTTCTTTCAAGATTTGAACTATGTGAATTTTCTAGCTTATGGTACTCATTTTGCAATAAAGTGACTTTCACAGAATGTTCAGAAGTGCCTTTGTGTTGTACCTTATACCTCAATAGAATCCAGCTGGAAAGAAAATTTCAGTAGGGACAATCTTTCCTTCTAGAAGCATCATTCAGCAGAAAATACAAAGATTTGGGCAGGGGAGGTGTCAGTCTGTCTTTAGGATAAATTGTGTCTGTTGCACGGGTAACAGGCAACAACTTATTTCCTAACTACTTTTTTCATGCAGTGCCCATGAAAAATGGCAGTGTGGCAAGCTCAGTGACAATAGTGCTCTCCTTTCTTCCTCAAGTGTGCAGATGCAGAGCAGAGACATGCCTGATTCTTGAATGGCATACCATCTGGGTGACTCAAGACTAGGGAGCGCTCTGTGTGCCTGCACTAGTTAGGTCCAGGGCTAAATTACTGAGGGTGTCATAGGGGAACAAGCAAGTGAGGCACAGAACTACACCCTTCCTGCTCCAGAGATTCCCACAGGTGTCTTGACTGGGAGTTCACCATAGCTCTAGTATCACTGAGCATGGGCTATAAGGTGTGTGCTGCTGGTTTAGGGGCTGGAATGCTTTAGTTCAGCACGAGCATCCCTCTGTTCGCCACCCCAGCCTTGCCCCATCCCGCTGTACAGCAGCATCAAGTCTGTACATAGCCCCATCACCCAGCAGAGCACAGCTGATCCAAATCAGGTGTCAGCACACACACTTGCATGTCTGCCAGCGTGCAGACAACATGCATTTGTAAGGAGTCCATGCTGGCTGTGAGAAGACCAACAATAATGCCCAGAAGTATAAATTAACCTGAGAGTATGTTTTAAACACATTTGAACTGTCAAAGTGAGTGCTTCCACTCTGCAGCACTGATCCTACATGGGCAGCCCTAACACTAGATTTTTCTGGTTTGCAGAACACTGGCCATAAAGGGAGTACACCTTTCATACTGCATGAAAAACCCACATGCTCAAGGCTTCAGCAGGCAATGAACAGGCGCGACCATGTGTAGCTGTAGCTACACTTGTGCTGGGTGAAGAGAAATGCAGTTTTGTCACTTACAACTAGCAGGTCTGGGTAACATGATCTCTCTCTAGAGGCTGAATGCATCTCCTTGTTAGGTTTCCCACTGATGTGAGAACTTGGAAAAATTAAAGCAAGTATTTTAATTCCTTTATTTTTTCCTTTTCCTTTTTGTCTGTTTTAAGTATCATAATTTCAAATATTTCAGAAAGGGGAATTAAAGCTTAGCAGACATAGAGCCTGCTTAGAGACTGACATAAAGCCAACTAGGCCTTTTTAAGGTGTTACAATCTCTCAAAGCAATGCTTGTTATGAAAATGAAGCACATGATAAGTAACAGTGTTGTACTGTGTTTTACTGCACTACAGTGCTGCTGCTTTCTGGTAGACAAGAACACATACAAAGAGTGTTCATAGGGTATTGCCATTAGTGCTGAATTTGAGAGTGGGGAAATTTGGGGAGTAGCTCAACTGACCAGCTTTTAAACCAGTTGTGGCAGATGCACCCACTCTACTAAAGACCTGAGAAAAACCCAACAAGTTTCTGGCCCTGGTGGTGCCAGGACTGCCCCC